CTTACCAAAACCACAGTTATGCACATTGGTCACGGTCCAAGTAACTTGTAACTTTTAATGGAGATCCTCTTGGCTCAACGAGTAAGGTCCGAGATCTGGGCGTCTACTTAAAGAGTGATCTGAAGTTTGAAGCACATATTGATATGATAGTAGTCAAAAAAGATTTGCGACCCTTTTTTAATCTTCAGGACTATACACTGCAGTGATGCCTCCGTCTACCTTAAGTTGTATAAGGCGTACGTGATACCGATCCTTGAGTACGGATCTCAACTGTGGAGTCCGTTCTCTAAGAAATTACAAGTTAAACTTGAACGAGTTCAAAAAGCTTTCACTAGAGTCGTGCTTCGCAGATGTTTTCCTGACTCTGAGTACCGAAGCTCCATGCCAAGTTATCAAAAAAGATTAGATCTGCTCAATATGAAAAGTTTACTATATCGTAGGGTTGTTGATGATTTGATTTTTTGTTTCAAAATCCTAAGGAACGAGACTAAGTTGAGGGTGAACAAATACTGGTCTTTCCGTCCGTGTCATGGCCGAACCAAACGACTTGGGTTGCATTGTGTTCCTGTTAAGAAGCGGCATCACCTTCTTGTGAGAGTGAGCAAATACTGGTCTTTCCGTCCGTGTCATGGCCGAACTAAACGACTTGGGTTGCATTGTGTTCCTGTGAAGAAACGGCATCACCTTCTTGTCTCAAATTCATACTTTTTCCGCTGTGCTAGATGGATAGAAATGCTGCCTTTCAGTATTCTGGACGCTCCCTCTACGTCGGCCTTCCGCGGTAGATTGAGGAATGTTCATCTTCTTTCTACTCTGAATATTGCAGATTTTTGAACTCGTTGGTGTTCCATGCTGTCTTATCATTTCCATCCAACGTCTGCTATGGAATCGTGGCTTGCGCAGTGAACTCTTCGACTTCATGATGTTCGAGGCAGTTACCTACAGAAGAATTCGCGCTCTACCGTGGTTTATCGTTGTGATTGCCAGTTCCTACCTGAGTTGACCAGTCAGTCAGTCCAGGGGACTCGGTGATGTACCTACCGTTGCTGCTTCTGCCTATCCGTTTTACATTATCGTCCTTCGCCTCGACCTTATAATCATGCAGTTGGGCGATTTTATAGCTTATGCAGGATAGTTCACTGGTTCTTGTCAATTTTGCCCGTAGTAAGCACCTGACGTTTTCTTATGTACTAACAACACCAGTTAACCCGTGTAGGTTTGATGTGGAGCTTGGACATCTCCCCTGGCTTGTGGCCACAGACATGCTTCCGAGTCGTTCTGTTTAGCTTCCACAAGGGTTTTATAATAGCATTGACTCAAAGGCTCCTTTGGTCCCTGTCTTTGTGCACTCAATCACTCAGCTATTCAGATATACCTGCCTCTCATTTTCGTATGACGATCTAAACTCAGTGCAAGTCTACAAGTACTCTCTTGAATAATTGGGCCTCGGTCTTACGCCCTGGGTTCGTATTCAGATCAAAGAGGCTCCTACGTGGCCCGCCCGGGAACGACTACGGTCGGTTGCGTTGCCTAGGCTGACTTGTCACTTTACTATACCACGTATATGCTGTCGGTTAAGTGGTTCTGTTTCAAGTGTGGTACTCTCACTCCTGCGGGTATTTATGTGTGGCTGTTGTGGTTATCTGTTTGGACCAGTTTGACATGAATTTCGATCATCTATGTTGTTGGCGACTCGTCTTAAGCTATCCAGTCAGGGTGATGTAGTTTACTTGTTCTATCTTCTTCATTTTGTTTTTAATTACTGTTCGTGTTTCTGATTACTCTTCGTTTTAGTTTATCCTTCTCCTTCATGCGTTACTAACACACATTCGTTGTAGTCTATGCTCACCATGAGTGCAGTTTAAATAAATAAATAAATAAAATAAATGGGGGATGCGCTCTCGACCATGTAAGGCGGCTTAAGCGACTCATTACATAGCCGTCTTCGTCGGATCCTTGGTCAAAAGTGGATAGCGATTGCAAAAGTGAAAAACGAATGCTTTGCCGCTGGTACTCGCTAATGAGTGAAAAGAAGCCATAAAAGCAAGTATAAAGTGTTTGTACTACCTCTGTTAGTATAAATATTTATAATGTCGAGGAATTATTAGCGCGGCAATGTAGGGTTAAGAAAGGATAGGAAAAGCGGGGCAATGAGTTTTACAGACTTCCTGTTTCTGTAGCATGTAACGATTTGAATTTACCTTCTTACCGGCCACGGAGTATCTATGCATGCGAGGAAACGGAAAGATATTTTGCGGATGCGGTTGGTATCTTACACTAAGCCCGACAAAAGCTTGCACTCGAGTGACTGCGAAGCACTCGAAAACGGTTCGTGGTCACCTTCTAGGAAATGCCCCTTGCCTTCCTAGAATGATCTTGCTAGCTGCCCGAAGTCTATTCAGCCCCCACGCCAGAACCTGGCAAGCTTTCCATTGCTTTGATCACATAATCTCGAATTGAATTTTTTGCCTGACTGACGTCGCTGTTTCCTAAGTTCTACACCGTGTAAAACTATGGTCTCTTCCGCGATAGATCGCTTTCCAAGAGGTGGAGAGAGCCACCAAATCAAGTAACGAAGCCTCAAGTCTCCGGATTTTAGAAACGAACCGAATGTTTCCTTCCGGTTATAGAGTAGTTTACTCTCTCTCACAACCAAAACGTTAGCATTTCACTAGGAATTCATAGCCAACATAAAGAGATAGGTCCGATGAAGCGATAGTTTCTGAGCCGAAATTTGTTGCTGCTCTTGTTACCTGTGTGATCGAATGAAAAGGCGTGGGAGTGAAAGTCGATAACCGCATTTATACCTCTCAATTTTGCAGATATATTTTATGCACATATATTTTATGTATTCGACAACCCTTGGTAGTATAATAAATTGATTTTTACCTAGAATTCATCAAGGGGGCGGGGGGAGAGGCGTTCCTTCACACAAGCTGGTTCTTGGTTTCTCTATGACTCTTTTTGGTGTGAACTCCCTCGATTTTATAGCGGCCTTTATTTTGAAACTGCTTGAAACTTTCTTCAACAGCTTATTGAGAATTAAAAGGACCTCGAACGAGTGCTTAGATATAACACGGCTTAACAGACTCACTTGTCTCTGAGAACGGATCTATCGAGATCACCTGAGAGAACTCAAGCCTTTTTGGAAAGTGTCCCGCTCCCGAACTCTTTTGCTAAAAACACAGTTTCGCTACTCTCTTCAGCTGAACGTGAAATTAAATAGTCATGAACGTAATGGCATGTACCGAAAAAAGTTATCGGTTTAAAATATTCTCTCCATCATGAGAATCTCTTTTTTCTAACTGGTATAAACCTCGAAAGATTGCTTTTGATACGTCGTGACGTGATATCAATTTATATTTTGAGCACAATAGCGTTTAACACACACCGCTCATGTTGGTTCCAGTCATGATGCCTGTGACAGCTGGAAAATAGATAGCCAAAAGAAGGAAGAATGTTGACGTCACGTCTTGAACAACTTCAGCGTCTTGCTTTCCACGAACTCCAGGGAGAACTTCGTCTCGCTGCATGTAGGCGGAATCCAAGTTATCTATAGCGTATATTCAGTAAAAAAAACGCACAATTACAACGTACATTGCCACCAGATGCTGTGAAAGTATGCACAATATTTACAATCTTAGCATCTGCTACATCCTAGCATCTACATACATACATCTGTATGAATCTCTAATAGTATCACTTTGCAACAGACCTCTAAGCGTGCCCACATTGAAACCAGGAAATCCCTGGGTGCAGGCGATCTTCACCTTTGTGTACTCAGAGCAGAACTCACCAGAATCGCAGAAAAGGTGCGTAAGCCTAGAGATAGGCATGTGAGATGGAGTAACTTTTGGTAGGACCCGAGACTCACCCTGGACTCTTGTCACAGACGTCGCAAATGGTTGGGTTCGTGATGTTTGTGTGCGATGAATTGTGATTCTTGTACAATATAACCGATTGTATGAGTCGATCGTCCAAGGAGCAAACCCTAAAGTAGTGCAGCACATGTGACAAACCCTGTTCTTCTGAACTAAGAAAGCAGAGACGTGAGTTGTTTCATACAATTTACTCATCATTCAGATGGTGGTAGTTTGATTCAATATCCAGTCAATCTCTCAATCTCTTGCAAAATTTCGCAGCAAAATTCTAGACCACGCATGGCTCGGCAGAATAATGGGCGATCAAACAGAAATTCAGAACAAATTTGCGACTACAGTAGGCTATCTCTAAAGAAAGAGCTGCTAAAAACGTCAAGCACAGGGTCACCGAAACTGCTGTTGGGTGCGTGCTCAACTCACTCTTTTCCTTTTTGCGTTCAACACAGATGCCGGAAGAACCTCAAGTGCTACTTGTTATGAGTTGTACAGTTTTGGTTTGGAATGCGCCGTGTACCCGGCGCATTTCACGTCAGGCCTTTACCTCAGGCCATTGAAAACGACGAGATTGTCGAAACGTCAGACGAAAAAAAAAATTCCACCATTAAAAAACCTGTGTGGCACAGTAGCATTGAATAATATGAACTCTCAATCATTGCATGTGCCTGCACGTGAAGATGATATTCTTGATCTCATTCTCAATGATGCTATTGGGTCTAACGTATGCATAAAGTCTCCTGTAGGGACTAGCGACTACTACTGCGTAAGTGCGGGGATACCAGGTCGCATGGACTGCTGTCCCTTGAAAATGGACAGACTTCGGAGCCGTTTTCTTTTTTGAGCGGTGAAATATGGAGTGTTCCTTCATTTTATGAATCACTCTTTGGAGCTTTTCACCCTTTCGTAAAACCGCTTCCACCAAATTGATGTTGTCTCATTTATCTCGTTTCATTGGACCAATATCTCGCGCAGTTTTGGTGTAAGGCCTAGAAGTTCTAGCTTTTTTTAGACCTCCACAGAACGTGTAACCTCAAGCCTTTTGAATTATAACAAGTGCAGTGCCTCAGTAGAGAAGAAATTTCTGGAAGCTGACAGTAAACCATTTGCCTTTTACAAGTTTGTGAACTCGAAACTGAGAGACGAATTCCGAATTAAATCTTTACTTCGCAACAGAGGAAGTGCGTTCTGACTTGATGTTTTTGTTAACTGCTGTTATATCGCCGCAGTACGCTTTATGACGAAGACAAAGTCTGATAAGCCGAAATTTTCATGAACCATTCCGCCGGGGTATACTCTCACACTAATGGACAACCGAGCCTATTTCACGGTTCTAGTTTCCCATCTTTACCCCCAATTTGTGATACTATAGAAATGAGTTTGATTGAGTTTGAGCGTCTTGGCCCCATACCCTGCGCCTAATGGTGTTCATCTGAAGTTTGCGAAAATTGAGAAAAAATAGCATTCTTCATCTCTCATCCACTTTCAGTCACTTTTATATGATTCGCGTGACCGCTGAGGTGCTCAGCTTTGGAAACACTCGTAGCTCAACACTCACTGCCGTTGTTCCTCTACCAAGATAACCCCCTCACTCTAGCACCTAGAACTATCGTCCGATGAGCATTACCTTCATTACCTTTACCTGGCATTCTTTATGAAAAAAAAACGTTGTTCTCCTCCGACCTCGCACTCCATTTTGTTAAAGATACAGTTCACGTTGAGGTTGTTGCAATTCTGTACTTGATTGAGAGGCAAGAGTCACACAATGATAGTTAAAAGAAGCTATAGCAACGAAGAAGCAGCCTGCGCGTGAGGATGTGTTGGACTGCTTCTAGTCGCTTTGAGCATGATGATTCGACGTCAGAGTACTGTCGTGCAGTACTCTGACATCGTTCTGACGCGGGTTCTGTAGGCGGCGATGAGAACTTGCCTAGGCTGCGAGCAAGATTTCCCTGGGTCCACCGTTGACGATACAGCCGTAAGTTGGAAACCACTAAAATTATAGGATTGCCTATTATTCAAGCCACGATGCAGCGCTTTGGTTTTCTCTGGACAAAGAGGGGCCTTTATTCAGTCGACCATTTGAATATCGCAGAATCGTTAAGGACATTCTAAATGAGCCTTCTTCACTGTCAATCTCCGCATAACTGTTAACGTCGTCTGGAAAGGCATTGCATTTAACTACCTGCGACGACAGAACTTCTAGAGCCTCGTACGTATAGATATTAAATAAATGGCTGAGCCGACAGAGCCTCGCGAAACACGCTGGCTGTATGTATTTCGACTGTGTAATACGAGTCGCTGACTTCACCTTGGAAGCGTCCGTTCACGATTCTAGCCTCAGTACCCACATACACAATTTTGACTTATAATAAGGCATGGGATGCTTTTCGAATGCTTTCGTGAAATCAAGGAACAATTAGGTGATTTGCAGCTATCAAGTATTGGTTATTTAAAGGGACAGTCACGATAAAAATGGTTTCGCGGTCCTATCTCACGGTATAGGTTCAAGAGATGTGAAGTGGCCGCTAATCGCGGATTCCTTCACACGGACTTCTAACTTCTTAGCGGTGAGCCGAGCTATGCTTCGGAGCCTTTCGCTAGTTGCTCTTTACGAGAAATCTCAAACTAAATTTAAACTTTCTTCTTTATATCGAAGTAAGCAGAGCTGAATCTAAAAAGTAAGAAAGTGTTCAAGTAGGTAGTCAGTAAGAAAGGATCACCGACATTTGCCCCGAATGTGTTATTGCCTTCTCGACTCCACCAGCGAAGCAGGCCAAAATTGCCAAAATGACGCACAAAAGCGAAATCTGAATAGAAGAAGTAGAAAGAACTTCACACTAATCTGAATGTCCAGATGATGGAATACTGTCATGATTGCTTTGCATTTTTTTCCATACATCACGTGTAGGAGAAGCGGGAATGGAGAGGAAAAACCTACAGGAGCAAGCAGTTGTACAAATTTCACTCCCATTGCCACAATTGCGACTTGAATGAGAAGAAACAACGTTCCATATATTCTGTAGTTATTGTAGAGTGGGCCGAGAGCTGTAGATAAACGATGTTTGAGTAACGAATTTTTCCTAAATAGTGGGTTGTTCGAAAAATCATGACAATTTTTGAAATTTTTTTTCAAGTCTTTGCCATAAAAACTTTTCGGAGACTTAAACGCTTCTATTTCGAAAGATATTGCATGTTGCACTTTTCTAAGAAAAGAAAACTGAACAAAATCCATCCACATTTGTAATTTTAGGATCTAGCAATTTTTCACTTCAAAGTGGCCTGGCCTGTGAGCATAGATAAAGATCTTCTGTGACATGGACCGAAGCCGAACCTTATCTGAGCCTGTAAGTGCTACTGAGAAAACCACCGCATTCATGGAAGTGGTTAACGAGAACATCGAAAAAAACTCACCTTAGACCGATACAAAAGCTAGATGTTCAGGGGCCACATGAGTTGGAAGAGATACACTTGGCGCCGCAAGTTCGTGTCCTCGATGTGCGCTTTGAACGCAATAAAGAACACCATTTAGAAAGTGGTTGTTGATCAGAGTCGGAATGTTTGCGACAATATCACTCACAAACGACTATGTATGTACCAGATGGATCTGCTCTGAGGGATGCAAACTGAGCAAAAGGAGGCCACGCTTCATCAGGAGAAGGCCACGCTACCGCATGAGTTAAAGAAGATGACTTGTCGCCGCGAAATAGTATCCTCAATTCGCGCCTGCGCAATTTGGTGAGATTACAAAGGTGAGATATAGTTTGAAGTGCTTTCAAGAAGCCATAATCTCAACATGGAACTCTACTTATAAGAGTATGATGGAGCAATTAAAAACCCTACAAAATTAGCAAGTCGCAAGGAGTAGCGTTGCTTTAAGACAAGACACGATCGCATACATTTCTTCTGATTATTATTAGAATTATCGTAGCCTGGTCGAAAGTTATATTAGCATCCACCGTACATGTCGTCCTAATCGGGAACCATTAGAGTACCATTTATATAAGTCTTTGTAAGACTCTTCAAATGAGAAAAATGAAAAGAAGGGACTCCGGTTTTTCGCTCAAAAAGCGGGAACTTCTAAAGAGAAAAACTATACCATGAGAAGGGTAGATCATTGACTAAGGTTCGTTCGATAGAAAAAACTTCTTTGAAAGACACTCAAAAATTGTAATTACTTTCCGAACAACCTAATAAATATATATATATAGCAGTAAATCGAGCAAAAAATCGTCTTGGATTAGCTTCAACCCAAGATATCTCACAAGGGAAGGATACTTGGCGCAGTGGCCATCAAGATGAGATGTATACCCCCTACATGGTTTCGAACGCTGATCTCAAATCTGGGTTCCAAATCTACGAAACGATTCTGGGAACAGAGTTACGCGACTGGACTGGTGCCTCCCTGTGTTATACCACTTTACTGAACGGATCACCGAGCCGAGCAAAACCCTTGGCTGCGCAACGGTGGCCTAGCGGATAGTATGGTGGACTGATAGGCATGACATCATGGTTCGACCGCTTGTTACTTGGCCTCACTTTGCTTTTCCATAAAATGCGTCCTAAATGCTTGCAAAACTTTTTTGGAGCTCAATGTTGGGCCTCTACGGGCTCCCTCGCAATTTAGGACTCCGGGGAATAGTGAACCAATAAAAAAATTTTTAACACTACTCACCGAATATATACGCCTATCTACCCGGAACAGTCAAGATGGCGTTTCGAAATCTTTGTCATCACTGTATTTACGGTAGAATGACTCATCCGGCCAGTGCCCTCTTTGGAAGGGATACGGTACACACATTTTAGGAATACTATCCGCGCTTTGGAAGCGGTGGTACAAGTTCAGTGGTATTGGTGAAGAAACACTGTAGAACAATAGTTTAAGCCGTGTGTGCACTGATTATCCGCTCATTCTTGAGATGAACGTCCTTTTAAGGAGCTCTTTCATGAGGTAAACGTGGTGATGCGGTGGGATATGATACCACGGCCGTCCTCAAAACCCCGAATCCACCTATGAATGTATCCTAACCAGCACCATAAAATAGGAGCTCCTGTTCCAGATCACAGACTTGAAGACTACGCTACACATCGGAGCCTCTATATCCCCACGTAGGAGATTTCATTCGCGAAGCTACGGGTCATCGTTGTCGTCCTCATCAGGCGACCGCAGAGGGTCATTGTGTTCGCCTTTCACGGGCTCGGCTTCCTCGAAGTGGATAACATAATTTCTTTCATAGCTTCGAGTAGTACGATTCAAAAGCTCTTCATTACCGCCTCTTCCTATATGGTGCCCACGTTATGCTGCAAGAACGAAAGTCCTCCATCAAATGTGATGGCACTGCATTCGGCCAGAATACTTCGCTGGTAACATGCTGAAAGGCGCTTGATCCGATGAATCTTGGAACCATTCTCCTTTGAAGGCACTGTTCACGGAAAAGTGGTTTCGGAAATTTGCACATGATTTGAATTCGAAGCCCCCTCTGATACCATTTGTGCAGGAATGAGGTCGAAAACCGTCTGGATAGGGCACAATAAGGGCAGGAACAGTGGGGGACGGGAGGCCTTCGCCCCTCGCTAGGCTGACCACGAGTTCTAATTGTCCTTCACCACATTCGCACTGGAGCGAAGTTGGTGAAAAGTCGATAAACTGGTTGGCAAATTGCCAGAGACGCAATGTGTTGTCTGCTATTGCAGACAACACATTGCGTCTCTCTCCCTCCCCCTCTCTCTCCCTAACCGCCGTTCTTTCAATGTGAAACTCGTCCAACCCCCTTTCCAGCTGTTTTTTACCTTTTGTAATTCTTTTTGTTCATCGTTTTTTGCGCTTTTTTCGTTGTTATGGCTTTATTCTAGAGTAGTTCTATCAATTCCTGTCAAAAAAGGGTACCCTAACTTTTTTGTGAACGA